GACTGGCGAACGGATGGACGGATGGATGGCTGGACTGACTGGCTACTTGTCTGCCGCACAAAGCCTTTCATTGATTAACGCCGTGCCCCACCCCTGCCCCACCCATCAAGGCCGGGCGAGAAAACTTGCGATAACTGCCAATGGACACGCCACACAGGCAGGCGGAAAAGGGGTTTTTATGTTTTTTTATTCACAGCATATCAAATCACTTAGGGGAATGAAGATTTAATTGGATGGACGCGCGGGGCGCGGATGAGTTATTTCAGCATTGACACTTTATGAGTGGAGCAAACAGCCTTTTTTTTTTTTTAAACCATTCCAAACTTGGGCTAAGCTATTTTATGCAGATTGAAGAGAAGTCGATTACATAACACTTATATGAAGCACTTAATTGGAATGCTTAAAAAAAAATATATAAAAATTGGCTTCAATACTGACAAAGACAAGTTAAAATTCTAGAAAGTTAAAGTTTAAAACTTTTTATTATTGTCAACACATTAAACAAGACGTTTACTAATATTGTTGACATGACGTCTGTTTGATATTTGATCTTTAAATAACTCGCTAAAATTTCCAAACAGTTTAAGCTGCAATCTTATATAAAAGCTGGTGCAAAACAAAAGTTTGCTGCGATTGCTGGAATTGAAAGCAGCTGCACGATCAGAACATTTGACAGTTGTTTCAATAGCTAATAAGAGAATTTCTAGAATATAGAATAACAGATTAGCAGGCATTCAATGCCATATCTAGTTACACTGTGCACAGTGTGACAATGTGTCAAAACCAAATACTAAGCGAATTGAATGACTGACAGACTGATTGTATAAAGCGTACATCAGCAGCTATATCCATGGCCCCCGCTGGCGAGTGACGTAATTAAGCAAAGGTTTTCGATGATATAGCCCAACCCTCTTTGCTGTCTCTGCCCAGATAAAAGGCGATAAACAAAATAAACAGCAACAGATATTGAAATATATATATATATATATATATATATATATATATATATATATATATATGTGTGTAGAGTGAATAAACAATCAAAATAAACTGCACAAGTCATTGCGAGTAGCGAATTCCATTTTGCATAAATCTTTTCATTCATTCCCCCAACATGGCGACAGCTTCAGACTTGAGACTCGTGACGAAGGCGAACAACAACAACAACAGCCAGAAAGTGTTGTCTATATATAGACTGCATATGCATACGCTTCCAATATGCGAATAATAAACTTATTATAATAATCCTTATCAGGTCGCCATAGTCAACGAGGCTTCCTTCTGCCACACGATGACTAAGCGCCGGCTGACGTCCAGTCCAACCGTGGAACGTGGTGGGGCGTGGCGGGGTTCAGTCGAAAAGGAAATACTCGAAATTCCAATGAGTTTGCCCACTCGCATCGGTTGCGCTTTGGTTTCAGTTTCTCCGGCTCTACAGCCACATTCCCAACCGCCTCCACTTGCCACTTGCCACTTGAGTTCCGCGTAATTAAGAAACATTCCAAAACAATAAGCCATATACATACATATTTATATGCCGTAATATATGGCCAAAGTCGATCGAACTCAATAGAACAAACTTAATATCTTGTTGTTGTACGGTTCTGCTCAAAGTTAAACTTGTATTTTTGGTTTATTTTGCGTTTTTTCGGCATACCCTGTAACTATCAAATGACCGTCAAGGATGTGATAATTGTGCATGTAACTGAAGCTAGCTAAATATAGTTAACTTTAATAAAATGGAAGTACCCAAACTTTTTGGCTCAAGAAGATAACCGTCAAATGAAGCTGACTGTTTGTAGGGCTTTCACTGTACATACAGTGGTGGTCAGATAATTGTGCACACTCTCATTGCATTAAAGTACAGCTCAGTGAATACCTCTATAATATATTATATATCTAGTTGAACACACTTTTATCTATATATTTATATAATATTCATATCAGATTTTCCGTTTATTCAATATAATTCTAATTCAGAGTAGCTTTAGCTATCAAAATTAAAAATTTTGTATACAAAACCTGGCCATATTTCGTCAATTTCTAATCTTTCCCTTAGCTCTAGACACTCTCAAGCTTTTGCTAGGGTATCTTATGGTCAAGCACAGTTGATTAGGGCAAATTGTTTGATTTTTTTGTTGTTCGTTTCTGCTTTTGTAGATTGTGTTTGGGTTGTTGTTTTTGAAACATGTGTGCGGCAGCAGTTTGAAAGCCAGAAGTATCTGTATCTGTAGCTGTAGCTGTATCTGTATCTACATACATTGCCATATATACACATGCTTACACATACATATGTACAGATGCATGCGTTTTGTTGTTCTTGTGCAGTGCACAAATGAAAATGCTGAGGCGTTAAAAAAATAGAGCACACACAGTTGTTATTTTTGTATTTAATTGTTATTGCCGTCTACATATTTGTTGTTGTTGGTGTTGTTGTTGTCTTTGGTGTTGCGCATTTGGAGCACTGTATTTTGATACGATACAAATTTTCTTGCTTAATTTGTTTTAATTGAGCTTGAAACATGAGGTAAACATTTGCTTTTTGATGTCTTTTTTTTTGTCTGCTTTTCAAGCAGTTAAAGAACATACAAAATGGAACACAATATAGATTTATAAAATATATTGAAATATTTTTCAAGTCTTCTGTAGATAATTGTGGAGTCAAGAGTTTCTCAAGTGTTTATCTGGAGAGGCTATTGTGAAACTGCAATCTTTTTTATATCTTTCGTGTAAGATAGTATCTTTTTTTTTTTATTTCAAGCCTAAAATCACGTAAGAGTCAAACCGTTTAAACATTTCACACGTGCAAAAACGCAATTAATTATAAGCGCAAATAAGCCACAATAACGCCAGATCGTAAAATAAAGTACGTCTTCAGCTGATATATATGCTTTATATAGAGAAAACACGTTAACAATTCGAAAGTTGTGGGACAACCACTCATTTCGGGCGACTCCGACTGCGTTCGCGACATGGAACAGACAGGGGAACAAGTGCAATAAATATTGTGAATGCAATCCGAACTGCAGCACAGCTCAATTAATGAAGCATGCAAAAAGCTATTTAAATGTAAGCGATTAAAACGTGTCCAAAATTGGGCGCAACAAAACTGACGCCCACAAACGCCACGAAACTGGCCCAGATACAAATCCGTATCGAGTTAAGTTTTTCATTTGCATGTTTTTACTCAATGAATTTGTGTGTGCATGTGTGTAAGTGTGAGTGTGTGTTGCTCTATCGAAAATGAATGTACACGCAGCACACTTGAAGCGGATGCACAAGGCGACCACGTCCAATTCAAGCAAAGCCCACACAGCGACAACTACAACAGCAACAACAACAACAACAACAACAGCAGAAAAAAGAAGAACAACATGGAGAGCGCGACAATTTGAGAGCGTTGACATGGAGTGAAAATGAGCTTTGATTTCTTTATGTGTGATTTGTTTATGTGGCTAGCCAGACCATAACTGTAGCCAATGAATAAGGTCAAAAGCAATGTGCAGGGAATCAGACAAACAACAACAACAACAACAGCAACGAGCATTGATATTTGTGGAGATAATGGAGAGTCTACAAAATACGCCCACAATATAAAGCCACAAAAGCCGCAGCGAAATTTGCCAAGAGATCAAACAAAACATCGTGTGTAAAACAGCACAAGAAAAAACGGTAAGTGCGGCGCTGACTGCGACGCTAACTACGACTGCGACTGCGACTGCGACTGGCTAATGACTTATGACAAAAAGCTCAAAATGAGCGCACACAGATTGAAATGCAAATAAAAAGCGGACCAACAAAATAAAAACAAAAAAACAACAAATAGCGCGCACGTATCTTGCAGATACACACAAATACACAAACATACATACATATATACACGCATACATCAACTTTTTTTTTTATAAAATAAATAAAACATCGCAAGCAGTGGAGGAGGACGCGCAGTAGCAGCTGCCTAGGCAAACTAGCTGGCAGCGCAGCATACAAACGCACACACACATACACAGTTATACAAATCATATGTATAAAACGAAATATAGAATTGAAAATAACACTAATAAAATAAAGTCAGGGGCAGCGCTACGTCAGCGGCAGCGCGATGAGGTAATACGCTGTGCTTGTTTTTAACTTGATGAGCAGCAGCACAAAATAACAGAAAAAAAAAACACTTATACTCTGCCACAAATAGGTTTATAAGAGCATAAAGGACTCTTATTTGCTGCATTCTTATTGGTTTTGTATATGCGCTGCGCAGACGCAGGCGCTAAGCACAATGGCAGCGCGTGGGCGCGCATCCAGATTACACAATTAATTTACTTATTTGTGCTTATATTTGTTATTTTGTTATCCATGAATATAGCGCCATATGTCACGCACTTATACACGCAGCGGCCGCAGCACACATTCGCACATGCACATACATCGATAACTGGCGCACATGTATGTATGTATAGACGTATTTATATACCTTTTGCTGAATTTTCTGGCGTTTTAAATTTTTATTTATTGCCTTTTGATATTTGAACTTGAATATCGCACATACACACACAGAAACACAAATATATATATATATATATATATATATATATATATGTATATCGATATCGGCCACGGCACGTTTCGGCACCGACGACGGCTAAAACTCAACTGAGGCGCGCCTACAGCAGCGCGCTGAACGCAAGCGGCTCAAGAGAGCAAGAGCGCCTAGAGAGCCGAAATAAAGAAATGAGCGCCACACATGGCACCTGCTGCGCTCAGTGCGCTCTTTGGTGCTCGATCGCCTTGGCAAGCAAATGTAAACAAAACAAAAAGTGGCAGATAGTGAGGAGAGAGAAAGAGACCGAGTGGGAGAGCGCAAAAGAAGGTGATGGACCCATGCCAGTGGGTGCATAACAAAGGCAAGAACAATAACAACAACAACAACAACAACAACTTTGAATGTCGTGATGACTAATTTCTGTAAGTGATGGCAAATTTCTTGTTGTGTTCGTTGTTGTTGTTTTTGTTGTTGTTGCTCTTTTGTTTTACAAATTTATTGCAATACGTAAAGAGGAAGCGACAAAGTGGAAGTGGAAATGGAAGTTGAATAGTCAGCCAACCAAAGGTGTTAGTCACTTTCAAATTAGCAGAAAAAGACTTCATAGTATTCGTTAGCCTCATTGATTGCCAGTGTGCGTAAGCTGATTAGAACGCACTGTAGGCATTTGAGGCAGACAACAAAACAATTTGTCACATGTTGCAAAGAACATAAATGAAATTGAATTGCGAGCTGCATTAAGTATGAATCTATAGCTGTGGGTAAGTAAATACTCATCTGCATACTGACAAAAAAAGTGTGTAAACAAATGAGGCGAGTTTCTTCTTAGTTTGATTGCTGCCTCAGCTCGGTGGATGAGTCGGTCGTGACGACGCCCCTTGTTTTCCCAATTATGCTCAATTATTGACACAGTCATTAGGCAATTGATGAAGCGCTGCTCCCTCCTGCAGTTATACAATTGAAACTGTGAAATCTTTAAGCCAGCGGGAGACGCACACGCGCTAAGTCCCCGGGCACCGATTCTGACTTGGCTGAGGCACTCTCAAGGGTTGCAATTGCAGTTAATTAAGTCAATTCGTATTGTCTGAATTGAAAACTCTAAGCTGAGTATCCACATACAACTCAATCAGTTGCTGCATTCTTTAAATTTGCTCTGCGCGACAGCTAAAGTATGTGTACTATAAAAGACGTTCACTTATCTTATCATTAAACGCGCGCTCTAATCGTACGTATAGTTCGCTTTGTTGGCTCTCAATCACTCTCCTCCGTACACCCGATAAAGAAGTCAAGCATAACAATAAAGTTGATAAGTTTTTGCCTGGTGTACATAAATAACCATCCGACTTGTGTACACACTGCATCAATAGATCATATATACAAATAAGAAACAATCAAACATGTGTACACACTGCTAGAATATATAACAGCTGACACGGTTTCTTCCCAGCAGCCCCTTCCTTTTGCTACTATTTGACAAACTTATACGAAAATATTCAAATTAAATTTAGTTTTAATCAATTTAACTCGTTAAGCAAGGTGTGCTCCATTCAAGATTGTTTACTGATTATTTTAAAACCATATTTTAATTAATGGAAATCATCATTAAGAAAGTCTATTTGATTACAGCCACAGCTGAGTTTATATACATATATATACACATATACATATATAAGGCCTGTTGCAGCGCAAATCAATTAAGACAATGGCGTAAATTTACCGCAATATGATTGTCTTACACTACGCAACATACAGTATGTCAATAAAGTGTTTTTACTAACAAAAAAAAACTAATTTTTTGGGTTTAGTTGAAAATAAATGTACCTAAAAGTGAGAATTTTTTTTCAATTATAATTTATTTCGATTCTATATTTCTCCTAGAACTTAATGGCAAAAAGAATTGTTAAATAACATTACCCAAACATTTTATAAAATTAAAAAACTAAAAACATTCACATTTTATGCTGTCAATAAAGTGTTTTTACAGCTACGGTAAATTGTTTTGCCGTTCTCTTTTGGGTGATCCCGTTAGATTTGGGCCCATGCGTTTTGGCTTCTCTTGTGTCTTCGACTTTTCTTGTCATTTTCTATTGCAATTTATAACGTTTTGCTTTAATTTTATGAAAAATAAAATGCCAGGAAAAAGAACAACTTTTGAAGTCGCTCAGCTGGTGTATTATAACCATCAGATGGGACGTCAAGTCTCGGAACTGGCTGATATGTTTAATTTATCAAAAGCAACGATATACAACATATTAAACAGAGCCAATAAGGAAGATAGGCTAGAGGCAAAGCCAGTATGTGGTCGACCCTGCAAAATTTCTGACAGAGATAAGCGAAAAATTCTGAGAAAAATTGAGAAAAATCCACAAATTTCGCTTAGGGATATTGCTCAGGAGTTCAAGGAAGAAAGTGGTGTTGATGTGTCACATGAAACTGTCCGAAAATTACTGAATTCCAATGACTACACATCACGAGTTGCCAGGAAAAAACCTCTACTATCGGCGGCGAATATTTTGAAGCGGCTATCGTTCGCTCAAGTCCATGTAAATAGTTCGAACGATTTTTGGAGTAACGTCATATTCTGTGACGAAAGCAAGATGATGCTATTCTACAACGATGGGCCATCCAGAGTCTGGAGAAAGCCACTAACAGCGTTGGAAAACCGCAATATTATTCCAACCGTTAAATTCGGAAAACTATCAGTGATGGTGTGGGGGTGTATTTCGAGCAAGGGTGTAGGAGATTTGACCTTCATTGAGAATACCATGGATGCTAGACAATATCTGAGCATTTTACAGACACATCTCGTCAGTAGTGCACAGAAATTTGGATTCTATGAGGACAATAAGCCAATTTTTAAATTTTACCAGGACAATGACCCGAAGCATAAAGCTCATATGGTAAGAGTTTGGCTGTTGTACAACTGTGGAAAGGTGTTAGACACTCCACCACAAAGTCCAGATATGAATCCAATAGAAAATGTGTGGTCATATTTGAAAAAAAAAGTCGCAAAGCGGAGTCCAAAATCAAAAACTGATTTAAAAGCTGCTGTACTGGAAGAATGGCAGAAGATTCCAGAAACATACATACAAAACCTTATTGTTTCAATGAAACGGCGATTGCAGGCTGTATGTGACGCTAATGGCAGCCACACAAAGTATTAAAAAAAAATATTCCTGTTTTTTTAACATTGTTATTTAGTAATAAAGTTTCGTGTAAAAACACTTTATTGACAGCATAAAATTTGAATGTTTTTAGTTTTTTAATTTTATAAAATGTTTGGGTAATGTTATTTAACAATTCTTTTTGCCATTAAGTTCTAGGAAAAATATAGAATCGAAATAAATTAGAATTGAAAAAAAATTCTCACTTTTAGGTACATTTATTTTCAACTAAACCCAAAAAATTAGTTTTTTTTCGTTAGTCAAAACACTTTATTGACATACTGTAATTTAATCAATGTTTAATAACACACCGCACTCTTGTGGTCAAGTGTTGCGAAGGAACGTTGCCCGGCTTTGCGTTAATTAAATTACATACAGAATATTTTATTGTTGTTATTGTACCCCCAACTGTGTGTAGCGGGGGAGGGAGGTAGCGACTGAAGTGTGCTGCAACAGGGCACTCGCAGTTTTGTGGCAAATAAAGTTGAACTTAATTAGCATATACGTGCGCCAAACAAAACACACACGCAAAGAATCAGACACACGCACACACGCACACACACACACACACACACACACACAGCAGGCAGACAGACAGCATGCGGGTGATGGCGGCAGTGGCGGTCACTGAAAGCGCCAGCTGGTCGCGAAAATCATTAAATTTGCTTACGGCGCCACAGAAACGGGTCAGAATTCGCGTGACCATCATAACAAATATTTAAAGAGCACCACTGGACGCTGCCGCTGACCGCCCCAAAGGAGGGAGCTCCAGCAGCAGCAGCGGCTACAAGTCTGCAGCTGAATTTGCACATGCTTTGTTTGGTTGCATAGAACGCGAAATCTTTGAGTTCTTCAATTGCACGGGAAAGTTGGCTTATTTAATTGTTATAAACTTACAGAATTACGTGGAAAATCAGGTGCAGATAGTTAAAATTGTATAAATAAAACAACACAATAAAACGGGACGATAGAATGAGTCGCGCTTATCGGCACTTGCACTGCAACACTGTGCATAACTATCGATACGTGTGACACATTGTGGGCGATAGATATTGCGTGCAATATTTCGATAGTTGCTCATGGTTGCCTGCGCAGGTGCGCCAAAGGCGCCAAATTTAAATTGCTGCTTTTTGCTACTAACAATTTTTAAGCAACTTGAAGACGCTTAACGCGTGGTAATATTTATATAAATCGAGGCACACACAGACAACAACATGATTGATGATAGCGCAGATGCTTGTGCGCACCCCCACATGGCTGTTTGATAAATTTGTCTGCCTTTCCTGCGATCAGCACTTCCGGCATGAGTCGGTGCTTTTTATTTTTTTCCAGCCTTATATACCCGGCGCAAAATTCAACCCCAAACAGCGGCCAGATACGAATCTCAACTGTGCCAAAAACAAAAACTAAAATCTTGGCCAGCCAAAAATCCATGTAATAGAAATCATAAAAATAAGGAAAATTCATGACTTTGGCGAAAACTCAACGGACCGCATATCGTGCGACATTCTCAGCGGGAAGGGTACGGGGCTTGACTTGACTAAGCGCTTAGCGCTGTTCGGTGTGTTGTTCTTCTGATTTGGGGTTGCAAGGCAGCTACAGCGAAATAAAAATAAATTTAATGTTCCTGTTTTTCGACAACGTCGTTACTGGGGCTTTCCACCCATATCATATGCGTAATTTATGCTAGAAAACATCTCGAGCATAAACAGGAAGCAACAACGTCCACGGTCCACGTTCCGAATCGGAATCCGAGTCAAGTTCTAGTCGCGCTTCATGTTGGGCGCAAATTCAATTAATTTCAATCGAACGCCTGTCGTTTTGCGCATCCGGCATTGATGCCGATTTCGATCCCTTCGAAGATGTTACAAATAGATAGAAATATCCGTCAGACCAACGTTCGCGCGCGCCCTACGTCCATAAATCTCCGAGCATGCATGCGTTCCATTATTATGACTGGGCCCCCAGCCCAAAGTCCATACATATCGAGAGCATACATGATGTCCTGCTGCGTCATTGCTTTGGTTCCGGTTGAGTTTCTGGCGGCGCACCCAAAGATTTATGTCACTTTGTTGGCACAACAAAACAGCCAAAACAGCAAAAAGCCGAAAGCCGAAAGCCTTTCCTCAAGTGACCCACTTGGGACTGACCAACAGCAGCAACTAATTGAGCGATCTTCCGGTTGGCTAATGGGTTAAAAGTGCTCAACTTGCGTCCATATATCTTGTGCATAGCTGCGATAATTTCGGCATTTTATCAACCAAAATTTAAGGGCCATTTTTCTCGAGCTTGTCAAGATTTATTGGCCTCTAATTGCGTGCATGCATTTTCACTTTCCAGTTCTCAACTGCCTGCGAGGTTTCGAATTCGACTAGAGAGACGCATTAAAAATGTTAATTTCTTGACCATTACGGCTTATGTTGGGCCATAAATAAATAAAATCGTGATGTTTTGGAGTGCGTTTTTTTAGCTGTGAAGGTTCTATGAGTTGTATGTCTAATGGATTCTAAATATTTGGGATACTTTCTGTCAAACCAAACTTGTTTAGAATAAACGCTAAGCAGGTTTATGCTGCTCGCAAAATTCCTACTCTTAGAAGACCAGTTGGAGCTCAAACCCAATTTATGAGGATACGACGAGAACAATAGCTGTACGTCCTGGCTAGGGGATTCTCAGCTATACAAAGTGATCTGAATCTTGGAAGACCAAAGCTAAAACGCGAAAAACGATAATTCGTACACCGTAATGCTTTACTAAACACGTTATAATCCAAGCTGCCTTTCAAGAAAGGAAAAAGTCCATATTTCCAATTTTGGAAGAAACAAGAACCAGTACTTATACAGAGAATGCGGTATTTCGCGGATCCAATAGCTTTACTATATACTCTGATATTTTTAAATTTTAAATTTCTACATTTGTATTATTCTTTATATTTATCTGATTATCTAAATAGAGCTCTGGCTCTTATAGACTTTATATTCTTGTTCCTTGAACTGGTTGAAAGATTTTGAGGATTCCTCTTTTGCTCGTGAGAGCAAAGAATTTAAAGAATTTTCTTAAAGAATCTTAAGTTTGCAACAATTCTTTCTTAATTCTTCTCCAATAGCTCAGTTCCCAATTCCCACAATTCACAAGCCTAGCTCTAGTTTTGCGACTCGTTGACGCTGCTCT